CCTTTCTCCTGCCTCTTCTGCAGTTCATTCTCTTCCATCTCTGTTAGCTTAGTCACTATGGATATTATAAATTCTTAATCAGACATTTCCATTGAACTGTCTGTGGATGAAGAGGAGTTATTCTTTTTCCTTGGAGGAAAGGTATTTTCTTGCTTTCCCATATTTCTTGTGACCCTGCAGTGATTTCTAGTCATCAAATGGATGGTGTATTTCTTCCTAATTCTTGAAGTTGAATCTAAGCATTCAGGAGCGTGCAGGTGGTGATCTGGAATCTCCTTGCCATCCTGTTTTCATCCGTTTGTGCAGTAGATTCAGTGGGTATTGATGAATATGTTAACTCTAATAGTATTTGGATGTTTGGCTATGGTTCCCTTGGATCCGCATAAAAACACAGTGAATGGAGATTGAGGAGCAGAGGTATGAGATAAAAGAAAAAGAGGAGACAACAGAGAGAGGAAAAAAAAGAGAAAAGAAGAAAAAAAAAAACAACCAAAAATTTTATTAAAAAAAAAAAAGTAAAAAATAAAAAACTGCACAGCAGTAATGGTGGAGTCTTCTTCTGAAGGCCTGTCCCTTGCCTCTCCTGCAGGGGAGAGGGAAAGGGGATTATTAACAAGATAAAGGAGGAACTGAAAGCCAAGAGAATACTTTACCTTAAAATTTTTTTTCTTTTTTGGTGAAGTTTCTGCTATAGGGTGTGTGTGCTTGCCAGAAAGACAGACAGAGAGACAGAAAGTGAGAAATCACCACCGGGAAAAGCGGCCACGCTGCAATCTCTTCTCCTCCATTCTCCTCTTGGGATCTTGGGCATGCACACACATGTGCCCAGTCTGAGCTTAAGTTACCAGGTTCGGGATTCAAATCACAGTTGACTACATGGGAGTCCAGCAACCCAGCCATTATGCCAACTGCTGGTCCCCCCTGAAAAATTTTAAAAATAAAAAATTACAAAAAGTTGAGAAGACAGAGTGAGGCAGAGAGACAGAGACAGAGACAGAGACAGAGAGAAGGCTAGAGGGGCTCCTATCACTTGAGTTTAGGGGCTGGAGGCTGAATTTTCAGTAGAAAATCTTCATTTCTCTTTTTTCCCTGAAATCACTCGTTCTCAGCAGCAATGGTGGAGTCTTCTTGAATTATTTTTGCTTTAACTTTATGTGTTATTATTTTCCAGTTTGATGAGAGAGC